ACCCCTGATATAGATTATTGTGGGTGTATATAAAAGTACGATACCATACATTGTGTTATTGCATATTAAGTTGCAGTAAATGGTGATAATAGAAGAACCACATAGAAGTTTTGAGGTAAACTGCAACATTCTATTATTGCTCTGATCAATGTGTATAAAATATTCTATTAGGTGAACAGAATCTGAGATTAAGACTTGGAAGAACCTTGGAAATAGCTAATCCAGCCCTTTGTTCAGAGGATAAATTCACTATTACAATATCCTCAACAGATGGCCAAATGTTTAAACACCTCAACAAAATAAAGTCTGTCCTTTCCCAATGCAGTGTATTCCATTGTTGCATAGCTTGTAATGTTAGGGATTTTTTTCCTTATGTTCAGCCAACATCAACTTCCTTGTAATTTATTCTGCAGTATTTTTTCCAGGATGGGTAAGAGGGAACAAGATGAGATAATGTAGAAAAAGTGATTTGGGCCAGCTGGAGACCTAAAAATTAATTACACTTGTGACTGTTGTGTAGCAGCTTTGAAAAAGATCTCTCTCCCCCTCTCTCTTTTTAATAGATGATTTAAACATCAGATATTGATTCAAATAATATTCAAAAGCAGAATTGTTTTCATTATGAAAGAAAGGACATAGAAGGAAAAGAGAGAATAATAGTAAAATAACTGTAAGAAGGAAAAGCAAGAGCTTTGTATCAAAAAAGAGGTATCAGATAATCTCCGAACAATGAAAAAGTTGACTTGGACTTTGAAGAATCATGTGGATGTTGCTGAGATCATAATGAAAATCATTATTTTGAACAGTGACATAAAAATGAATAGAGTTATACTAACCAGAAATATGATAAAGTTTGATTGGGGAAAAGTTTCAGATGAGAAAATGCTTATAAGAATGATTAGTGAGTACAGGTAGTCCTCGATTTACAACCATTTGTTTAGTGACCAAAGTTACAATGGCATTGAAAAAAGTGATTTATGATCATTTTTCACATGACCATTGCAGCATCGTGATCACACTTGGCAATATTTGTGACAGTTGCAATGTACCAGGATCATGTGATACTCTTTCGTGACCTTCTGACAAAGTCAATGGGGAAGCCAGTTTCATTTAACAATTGTGTTAATAACTGCAGTGATTCACTTAACAAATGTGACAAGAAAGGTCCAACTGGATAGAACTCTTAACAGCTGTTTAGCAATCAAAATATTGGCCTCAATTGTGGTGGTAAGTCAAGGATTGCCTGTATTATTATTTCTTCTTTCTCCTTAATCTCATGCCTTTAAAAAAATTTATTTTGAATTTCTTCTTCCATTTATGCACTTTGTATAATATTCCTTATCCAAATAGACTAATGTGTGTACTGTATGTGTACTTTCATTCTCACTGTGTATTAGCAATGTGCAAATTAATTCCTAACAGATGTTCTAATTTGGGTTTTGCTGAGCATGTATATTATTCTGTTTTAGCTGTGTTTGTATTACACATTCATGGATAACCTTGATTTGTACCATTAATCCAATCATTTGGGTTTGTATGACATAGAACCATAAATTAAATACCTGGCTTAATTTAAAAGTTTGTGGTGCTTTTTTATTTATTCAGAAACTCAAGGTGACATATAAAGCAATTTCATCATATTTTTCCTCACCTAGCTAGTTTCTTATTACTTATATTATTTGGCAGCTGCTTGGTATTTTCTTTGGATCTGTGAAGGTAGCCATTTCTTCTTTTTTTTCTTGTGTGGTGATGTTTGTACAATTTCATTAAGTGTTGAGAAACAGAAGAATGAGTATACCACTGGGATGGAATGAACTGAAAGAAAAACCTGTATAGAAAATAACGTATCAACATTACAAAAGTACAAGCAAATGCAATGGGCTCTAAAGATATAAATTGCCAGCAAATAACAAAAAGCTGGAAGAATATTGGCAGATGTAAAAACTAATAATGAAAATATAAGAGAGAAGGGAATAAGCACATGCTGTTTCCCTGTTTTAAATAAAAGGATGCTAAAATGGCAATGGCACGAGCTTTTATA